TGCCTATCTTGGGGAACAGCCTCCCCCCCCCGAGATACGGACAACCCTGATCCTGCTGGTGTTCTGGAAGGCCATGAAAACCTGCCTGTTACCCCAGGCATTGGGGCCAGGGCATTAATGGAGCTCTGACATGGATGGGATGTGCTGGTTCTGATGTTCTTGAGAAATTTAGGGGCCTTGATTTGTTTTTTCCCCCTCTAATTAAATGTGATTTTGTTTTTGTTTTTATCTTGTTCACTGCTCAGATGGCAGCCGTATAAACAGGGAGGGAAAGCACAATAAGGGGAAATTTGGATGGGAAAGGAAAATAGCCGTGGACATATACAAGAAGGGTTTTGTTCTGAGCTGGACACCAATAAGCACGTTCCCATAAAAATACAAAATAGCCTTTTGTTCTGGTTTCCCATTTGCAGGTATTCAGTACTTGCTTGCATTTTGTCTTTGCGCTGTCTGGACTGTTCCAGAATTGCCCTGTCAGATTCAAATGTTTCATCAGAATTGCTCTTTGCTGCTGAAGTCACCTCTTAAAATTAGCAGCCTTTTCCAATATTGTCTATGCTGAAGCAAGCAAGAGCTCCTTTGTCTTCATCAACAATCCTTGGTACCTCTGTTTGGGATTATCCCTGACTTTTGCAACGAGAAATGTGTGCATGTCTGTTCAGCCTTTTCTTTTTCTGCATCATTGATTGGGTAGCCAATGTGATTTGATTGGAATAATCTGCAGGATCTGGGGACATCTTGTAATGCAATTTGGTCCATGCCTGCATAATTTAGGCTTTCTGCTTGAGTAATTGAAGATGCTGCTTAATAAACTTGGTAAAAACTCCCATTTGGTTTACATTCCAGAGGGTTGTATAGGAAGCACAAAGGCAATTCAGATGGTTATTGCCAGCCTTCCTTCATTCCCAACCTCTAACCATTTCCTTGGGGAAGAGGGTAATCCTCTGCAGTAGAAGGTGTGGGGTGTGGGGATGATGGGGGGAACATTTGCAAAGTGACCCTAGCTATTAGGAATTTCTCTGAAAATATCTTGGCAATGTACACAAGGCACGAGACTTAGAAACCTAATCTCTGCTGCGATTTCCAAACCCTGTTTGAAGAGGTCTGTTTGATCATCTTTTACCAGCGGCAAATTTTCAGATGTTGACTTTGTGCTCAGTATGAGAACATACATAAAGCCAGTGTATTTTATTAGCAGAAATTATTTAATACAATAACTTAAGACAATAATTTTGTACAATATTTTAGTTCTTGTACAAAAATGTGTAGTGGTAGAATGGCAGGTATTGTAAAGATAATTTTGTTCATTTTGGCATCTTGTCAGATTATTTTTGTGAATTCAACATTTAACATTTTGTGAATTAAGCAAATATGAGTAGATGGGTACAGTTATTTGAGCAAGTTTTCTTCTACACAGCAGAGGATCTGAGGACTCTAATATTATCTGGATTGGACAGTGTAACATACAGCATCTAGACCAGTGTTTCTCATCTTGGCAACCTCCTAATGTGTGGACTTCAGTGCCCAGAATTCCCCAGCCAGCGTGGTTCTTGCTATGAATTCTGGGAGTTGAAGTCCATAATCTGAAAGTTGCCAAGGCTGGGAAACGTTGATCTAGACTTAAAATGTTGTAGGCCAGATTGGCACTGATAACACCTGTTTTCACTTATAGAGGGATTTTGAGCCCAAAACATGCCCTAAGACAAATATATTACCACCTTTCCTTGAAGCAAGAGAAACATTTTGCACTCCTTGGTTAACTGTTGGCTTGCCTTCCTGATTAGCTGGAGCCTTCCTTCCTTCCTAAAATTTCTACTTCTGCGTTTTCCAATTTTGGCATCATTGGTCTCAAAACTAGCAACTCATATATATCATATAGCTCTTTCCTGTGCATCAGAAATGGAAATAATGAATGTGTGTGGTGTGTCACATATAAAACCAGTCTTTGGACTCTCTGTGAGCTTTATCAGGAGATCAAATTCTTTTTCTGGCAGTATATATCAACACATATCTTTCTGAATGAGCAAAGTCATGGATAGTTCAAGAAGAGAAATGTGAGTCTTTGGTTCTTGAAAAGTGGGTTAGGCATCAGAGCAGAACATGGGTAGCACTAGGAAAAAGCATGGTCTTGGAGACCAAGCACAATCTGGATTAATCTTCAATTTACAAATTGTCTGGAGTGCTCAGGCAAAGGGAAAACTCTCTGGTGTCCCAACTCAAAGATAGCTACAAGCTTAAAATACTGACTATAAAGGACCATGCACTTCTGGGGGCATCATTGGGGTGGAGAGAACAGCGGCATGAGTAGTCTGACTCCAGAGAATGAAAGGAAACCTAAGAATAACTTGTAAGTCTGACATGTTTGAGTTAAAACTAGCTAGTTGCTAAAACATGCCATGGAAGACAGATAGCTACTAGCATGCAACAGTATAATGGGCGTGCCCAGATGGTCTTCAACACAGTTGACTCTTTAAAGAGATGGGAATGTTGCAGGAGTGGGGATTTGGTTATTGATTGATTGATGCCAAGGCTCTGGATTGGCCAGTTTTGATTCCTGTTTCTTTTGTGTATCTGTCTGGATAGGTTTCTGATAATAATCATCTAAGAAGTAACTCTTGCATAAAGTTCTGTGTGAGTTAAAACCTTTGATGGTAAATAAGTGATGACAGATAAATCACTTTATTTTGAACAAGAGTGGCCTGGAATAAGGATAGCTCTATGCTTAGATTACACGCTACGTGCTACTGAAGAAATATTAATAATGCATTTAATCTTTCTGGGAAATAGGATTTTTATAATCATAATGATATTATATCTGCGTGCTGTGCTGATAAGTTGAAATCACATTACTTGCTAGACTTGAAGCTTTATGCATATAATAAAGCCTGGCATTCATGCTTAGAAGTGCTCTTGCCTGTTAAAAACCAGCAATTATATATCTCTACCAGAGCTCCTGGGTGCATTATGGCATTATCAGTAGACACAAGCTGTGGGGAATGTTCCACCATGTCTCAGTGTGCTGGTTCCATTGAAATGAAAGGCCAATCAATTCTAGCAGAATTCTGGTTTGTTTTAGTGATCCTTTTGTTTTGACACATTAGGCAAGCATTCTGCTTTGACCATACAGTTCAGTTTTCTGTCTTTACTCTTTCGTAGATTGAAACAAAACCAAATGTACATTCAAGATGAAGTCAGTAAAGTCCTTGAGCGAGAGAGAACTGTCTCCAGTGAGCATTTGGCTAGAGCCATTCTCAGAGAGAGAGCTGCAACTGAAGATGAACACACGAAATCACAGCTGCTGGTAAGTGTATGGTTTTTCCCAAGATCATCAAGCTGCAGAAGACCTAGAATGGTGCAGGCAGCCCATACAGGATGGCTAGCTGCCCTCTTTCTTGAACAGAAATGTGGCCATAATCTATTAGTTAAGGAAACTGTATTTTGATATCTCTTGCGATTGCAAGACCGTTGCAGGGTTTGCTGGAGCTCAGTGTTACTTTAAAGGTGTTATGTCAAGAATCCAGTGCTTAAGGTTTCTGTCCCATCTCTGCATGGTCGTGTGACCTAGCTTAAAGCATTTGACTACTATTTTCCATTGATTTCTGAAACTGGGATAGTTCTGTTAGAAAACATCTACGTACGACGAATTAATGTCAAACAATTTAAAGCTTTTGTGTTATCTTGAGTCTAAGGCATTATTTAAGGATGTCAGTGGTGATCCACTAAGGAGATTACTTTCAAATTAAGTATATATTGTTCTAAAATATTACCTCTGCATTTCCCCATTTCACTACAAGATAACCCAAGTATCTTTTTGGAAATAGAACTGTAGGGATTCCTCTTGTCCAAGTTTTGCTTAAAGACTTTTCCTCATGTTTTTTCTTTAATACATTCACGTTCCTGCTCCTGAAACAAACAATTTAAAGCTTTTGTGTTATCTTGAGTCTAAGGCATTATTTAAGGATGTCAGTGGTGATCCACTAAGGAGATTACTTTCAAATTAAGTATATATTTTTCTAAAATATTACCTCTGCATTTCCCCATTTCACTAAAAGATAACCCAAGTATCTTTTTGGAAATAGAACTGTAGGGATTCCTCTTGTCCAAGTTTTGCTTAAAGACTTTTCCTCATGTTTTTTCTTTAATACATTCACGTTCCTGCTCCTGAAACTTGCATTTAATGTTTAAGTTCTTTTATGCACTTAAGACGGAAGGTAGCAATTTTCCATCTGAAACTGTGGTATTGTTGGCAAAATGTCAAGCTTTTCAAGGCTTGACATGTTAGGAGGTACTGAAAGTTGATAGAAGTGAGGAAATGAATAGAGCAGCAGAAGGCTTACATATATCCACTGAAAATGAACTCAATTTACTTTTGCCCCTCAAGGAAGTGTGTATAGGATTGTAGCCCGGGTAGCTTCAATCCTGGAACTTACACGCCTGTGAAGACAGTCAGAGGGTTCTGTGGAGATCAGTAATCAGACATTCCTTGTCCTTGAGCTTATCACCTAAAAGATAGAGCATAAAATGGGTGTTGTTTGTTGTTCAGTCGTTAAGTCGTGTCCGACTCTTTGTGACCCCATGTGCTCATTCCTTGCGATACAGTCTTA